AAAAAAAAGAAAAGAAAAAAATAAAAAAAATAAAATAAATTAAAATAAAAAACTCTCCCCAATGAAATTCTAGTCACCGCTGAGCCGTACGTCCGCTCGCGTCGAAGTTAAAAAAAAAAAAAAAGAAAATCGGTCGATAAAAATTCTGTAGCTATTGTCATTATTAAAAAAAATTAATAAATAAATAAATAAATAAATAATTAAACCGCGCGCAAACCCCGTTACCGTCGAAAGAGGAAAAAGAGAAAGAGAAAGAAAAAGAAACAGATGGAAAGAGAAAAAAAAATTAGAGAAGATAACACAAATGCTTTTTTTTAATTTATAATTAAAGTAAAAAAATATTACACATATATACATATACCGTTTAGATTGATAATTGTTTCATCGTTCTTTTAATCTTTTTTTTTTTATTTATTTCTTTGAAGGGGTTGTTTTTTTCTTATCTCTTATCCCCCCCTCCTCCCCCGACGGCGGAACGCGATAGCAGCGGTCGAATCTTAGGCGGAAAATAATTCTTATAAATAATAATAATATAATTATTATAATAAATAATAATAATTAATAATTATAATTAATAATTGAAATAATAAATAATAAATAATTAAATAATAATGATGATAATAATAATTATAATTAAATAAGAAGAAGAAGAAGAAGAAAAAGAAAGAAAAAAAATAAATAATATTAATAATAATAATAATAATAATGTGATTTCACGAGTTGTGTTCTAAAGAAAAAGAAAAAAGAAAAAATTTATTCTTCGTCGTCGAGAGTTTTTAAAAATTTAAAAATCCGACCGACCGATTGACCGACCGACCGACCGACCGACCGACCGACAAATTCCAAAGTTAGTAAGTCAAATCAACTTAGAATGACAAATAAATAAGGGAGTTGTCGAATTTGTTAAAACGTGTTTCGCGCGCGCAAACAAATAGGAAAAACGAAATTGGGTATGAATGATTGATAGAAAAAGAAAAAAAAAAAAAGAGAAAGGCTAGAGAAAAGATTTTTTATTTCTTCGTTTTTTTTTTGTTTTTTTTTTTTCAAAGGAAGGAAGAGAAAACAAAAAAAGACAATGTTTTCTATACGTTTTTATTTGTATTATTTTAAAAAAAATATTTGTTTAAATATGTTTATTTTTAA